TAGTAGTAGTAGTAGTGTGTGTGTGTGTGTGTGTGTGTGTGTGTGTGTGTGTGTGTGTGTGTGTGTGTGTGTGTGTGTGTGTGTGTGTGTGTGTGTGTGGCGCGTGTAATATTTCAACTTGCACTTACAGTTATCGAATGGGAATTATGATAGACAAAAATATATTACGGATTTCTAGTCCAGAAAGAGAATACATAATTTGTAAAAGAATTATTTGTGCTGTTGGTATTCATCTCAGGAGTTTCCAGTATGTATATGGAATATTTTTGAAGTTATAAATTTTTTTCATTTTTTCAGAACTAATTCTTAATATAGTCTTAAAGATTCTTAAAATTATATCATTTTTATTCATATTATATATTCATATTGTATATTCACATTTGTTTAATTATAAAATTGTAGTAAATGTTTTTAAAAATAATAATGTAATAATATGCATCTAAAAGTTAATAGAAAATTGTATTTAATTTACTAGAATTTTAAAATTTTATATATAATTTTATATATAATTTTATAAATATGAATAATATATCTTTGATTTTTTTCAATTATTAAAGGTTCTGTAAACTTCTTCTTTCAAATATAGAGAACTTGTTTGCTGCTTTGATTGTAATCGGCGTATCATCCTTAAGTATTAATTTATTCCGAGTAAGTAACGCTATTTCATTTAACAATTTTCTCAAGAATTATTAAATAATTATTTAATTAATATTTAAATATTATTTATAAAATCTTAGCTCCTTCAAGAGATAACATTGTATGATAATATGGTAGATATATTTTTATCGGTTGGTATTATTATAATTCATTTCTTGTATTTCTTCTTTGGCAACCATGTTGGTCAACTAGTAATGAATAATAATGGTGACATTTATAACACTATGTATGTATGTAACACTTTGTACATATTACATCTTTTTCAAAAAATTTCAGAGAATTTATCTTACATATTATTGTTCGAACTATTAATATCAAATTAATAATAGCACAGAATTTGTTATTGTTTATTATAATATTATCTATTTATGTAAGAGATTATTATTTTAAAGAATCATCGCGGAACAGATATTTTAAATATTTTTAAAATTTTTATTCATTCAATATATACATTGCATCGTCCTTAAATTTTTATGTGGTGTTCTAAGTTGTAATAGTTGTATTTTTTTGTAATATTCTATACAACATATCTTTTGAATAATTTAATATTATAGAAATTTTTTTAGAATATTCTTGTATTTATTGGTAGAATTTATTGGTATAATTTAAACCAAAGGATAGCATAAGAGTAGAGAAGCATTAAATTTTGAAGAGCATTTTTAAGAACATAAACAATAATTATATTATTATAAATTTACAGATATAATTTACCATGGTACATAGCTCCTTCAAACATACAAAAATTAATTTTATTTCTGTTATTTAATAGTCACAAGACATTTTATTTATCGATTCAAGGTGTATTTAATGCTTCATATGAAAGTTTCACAACGGTAATGTATATATCGTAACTTATTATCATGTTAAAGTTAATGTATTGTATAAAAAAATTTGTCATGTTTTAGCTTATAACGATGACAATGTCATATTTTACAGTAATCCATTCTACTCAACAGAATTAATACCGCATACTTACAGTCATTTTTAGAAATTTGCACCTATGCATAATGATATTTGTTAATGATATTTCATTGCAAGAAAATTTTATATACACAGCGTAGTTATAATCATATATCATATAAAATGGAATACTCAAAAAATACTTATTTATGAAATTCAAAATATGATTAATGCTAAATCTCTGTATGTTGTAATTATTTTGTAGATTAAAATAAAGATATACAAAAAACATCATCATGCGTTATTCAGGAGTCGTTTTTTGTGATCTAGTAACAATTCTTTTTATTAATTTATAAGTGAAAATTATTAGTTTATAATTTATAGTTTATAAGTAAATTAATATAAGAGATAATATTTCTTAATATCTTTCTCTAATATTCTTTATAATATTTTCACATTTTTATAATCACATTATAATTAAGTAATAATTTATTTTTTATAATATATAATTATAATATTTAATATGAAAAATAGAGAAACATTAAGTTGTGAAGAGAAAATGATTGATGTAATATTATTAAATGTAAGAAAAGCTTTATAAATTCAAAGACGTTTGTTATTGTAATTTTTTGCAATATTATTGTAATTATTTTATGACAATTATTAAAATAGTTGTAATTCTTAAACACAATTGTTAAATAATATATTACTTTTTTGTTTTCAGGTAAGTATACATCAAGTTATTATCGGAGTGATTTTTATATTTTTGTGGTGAGTAACAATTATATGTAAAATTTTTATTTTTGTGTGTAATGAATAAGCATAAATGTATATAAAATTATATAAAAAAAGAATAATATATAAATAATATATACTATATAATAATATATAATATTTATCTATATTTTGTAAAATATAGATAAAATATTTAAAAAAATAAATATATCACTATTTCGCATTTTATCAACAATAATAAATAATATTGCCCAAAGAGAATTTATAAATAAATTTAGGTATATTTTATATATATATATAAAATTGTCTTAATTTCTTAATTTTTTAAATTAAATATGCATTAAAATATTGTTTAATTTTATATACAAGTAAAATTTTAAATAAATAATTACTTTTTAATAATTTTATATTTTATATTACATAAATTAAATAAATTTTTGTATTATGCGAAAATTTTTATATTAATCTTTTGCCTACAAATGTATTAATAGATATTATTTATAAAAAAGTAAAAAATAAGTGGCAATTATATAAGATGCATATAATAACTTACCTCTTTATTTTATATAATCGTATTTTTCTGTATTATTCTGTATATCTTTATAAAAGAGAAACCCATTCTACAAAGCGTTGAAATAAACTGAAATTTTTACTATGAAAAAGAAGTCTTGAGTGCGTTTGCGCAAGAATATTCCTTACCGTATCTATTAAAGAAACATTATTTTCAATTACAAATTGAAGTAATTTAGACTCATTTTCTTTTACCTCTAATATTAACTCATTATATGCATATTTGAAACATATATATATCCATTTTTTACACGATGATCGTTCTCATCGTGTGAGGATATTGATCGTTTGAAATTTACATTAGCGTTTGAAATATTCTATATATTCCTACAATCGAAAATCCATACTACAGTAGTATCGCGATTCTCATATGAAATGCATTCTTATATGAAATTGCAAATTGCAAATGATGCGATTGAACAACATTACAAAATCAATCGAATAATTCTTAAGTTACTTGGTTTATGGCCTTATCAACAATCTTATATCACACAAATACAGAGAGTATTGTTTATCAGTATTCTTTTGACATTTATTCTTGTTCAGGTATAATACTCATGTATAATATACTCTATATAACATAAGTATATATATTTATATAATTTGTTAAGAAGCAATTCATTAGTTATATATTTATTAACATATAACTAATTTATATATAGATATTTCTTAAATATGTGAATAATAATTTTATACAATTTTTTTTACCAAAACTTCTTTTAGTTTTCCAGTAACTTAAATATGTAACCTTATCAATAATATCAATAATATAATATAATAATAATAGTCAACTTTTTAATTTGAATAAATCTATTTTTATTATAAAATAAAATATGATTATTTTATATATGGAATGGAACATGGTATATAT